AGTGACCTTTGTTGTAAAAAGTTAAGAAAGGGTGTTCTTGATAAAAGCTGTGGTGGTTTGAGGGAGAGAAGGAGATTATTCATGGGCTAGAAGTATATACTTGTTAACATAGTTGACAAGTCAGGCAATATTCAAGACGGTGGATGGCAGAGGAAAGATGAAGGTAGAGGAAGACACAGAGGAATGTGAGAGCTAAAATGAATAGAGGTAAATGCTATTAACTGATGGTACCTGGAAGGGATTGAAATTCATTGTAAGGAAGCAAAGTATATGATGTGTTGAATGTAAAATTGATGAACTCCTCTGTAATCCTTCACTGAGTTCACAGTAAAAAGGTTTTAAAAAAATGATTGGATAGTCACAGAGGACTAGAGTAGAGAGTGAAGCATCCAGCTGATAAGAAAAAGAGCATATGCACAAGCACACCCACACTTGCAGATAATACCCACTTGACCTGGCTTCAATGACTGGATGATCAGAACTCAACTAGAGAAGAAAGAAGAGGATAAAAAGAGTAATCTGATACAATTTGATGAACTTGACTTACACCTATGGATGCAGTAGCTCAAAAGAGGGAACAAATCTTCACAGCGAGGATCATTCCAACCCCCTTCATACACAAGAGTAGACAGGGATGGGTAACTTGGACACTGGCTTCTCAAAGTGGGGGACGGGGAGGGGGGTGCTACAAAGGCAAGAAGTGACTGGCTTACAAGATTTCAAGAGGGAGTCTAGATCCAGAGGGCGTGGAGGAAGGTAGAATTTCCACTGAGGAGTATCTAATCTGCCTAGGTGGGCTGATGAAAGGAAATGCAGATAGGTCTTTTATGGTACAATAATGAATAATTGTTATCAGGACTGATTTGTGAGGGTTGGAAATGTAAACGTAGATGTTTTGAAGCAAGGACGGGAGTGATTAACTTTGCAGTCTAGGAGTGGAGGTTCCTGGGACCATCAAGGGAGAAGAGTGGAGAGCGGGACCCTACCCGGAGAGAACCAGTGATGCCAGAGATGGAGGCAGAGATGATGACATGAAGAGATGGAGCAGTTTGGGACTTTAGACCCAGAGAGGGAGAAGGGCTGTGTGCTGACGACTGGGGGGCAGGCTTGAAGGGTGTACCTTTGGTAACTTAATGATGCATGCAGGGGATTGTAACCATGGCAATGAAATGATATATGATAGGATGAATGTAAAGCTAATTTTCTAACATGTTAACTATCACATAATTCACAATAAAACATTTAAGAAAAATGATTGGAGGCAGAGGAACACTGGGAATAGGCAAGAATTTAAGGCAACAGAGGTCAATTCTGGTATATATGCAGTCCTGAGACAACGGTGATCTATGAGGAGATGCATAGACAAGACACTCGCTGAACGAGTGGCGGAGGAAGAGTTGAATTGTACACATGAAGTCCTGGTGTGGTGCTGTTGGATAAGCGCTGAACTGCTAACCTCAAAGTCTGTGGCTCAAACCCACCAGTAGCTCCTTGGAAAGCCTTTACAGAGTCACTCTTACTCAAGGCTGACACAACAGCGCTTAACAGCAGCAATAACAATATGCAAGGGAGAGTCAAAATTTATCCACACTCTGGCAGGAGAGTTTATTTTAATCAAATTTTAGAAAAGATGAATACATCATCATTTTTTTTACATAATCTCCTTGCTTTTCAATATACTTTGTCCACCTGTCAACAAGTTTTTTAATTCCCTTATTCAAAAATGTTTTGCTGGGCTGCAAGCCACGAATGCACTGCTATCTTCACTTCTTCATCAGAGGTGACTCTTCATCCTTGAAGGACTGCTTTCAGGGGACCAAACAGGTGAAGTCTGGTGGAGCAAAATCAGGACTATAGGGAGGCCTCAAAACGAAGTCTTGCAGAGTGTCAGCAGTGTGGGCAGAGGTGTGCAGATGCGTATTGTCATGTAAGATCACAGTGTCATTGGATAGCAGTCCTCTGTATTTAATCTGAATATAGGCTTTAGCTCTTCAGTGAGCAGCTCACTGTAATGGGTATTGTTGATTGTAAAACATTTTCCCTGATAGTGTTCCAATAGTGACCATTGAGAATACCAGAAAATTATCAACATCAGTTTTCCAGCTGATGGTTGACTTTTGAACTTATTCTTAGCCAATTAAGGAAGTTTCCGTTTCCATACTCTGCCGTTTACTCTCAGGCTCGTAGTAACGAATCCATGTCTTCTCACCAGTAATGCTTTTTTTTTTTTTTGCAAGTTTTTATTGTGAACTGAGTTATAGTTTACATGGGAGAACATTGGCTTCACACCATCTTTTTATTGCGATGATTACAATCTCCTCTGTGCATCATCATTCAACATATTTGCTTCCATTCCCCGTGTTGTTGGGGGTGGGGGACAGGGATGAACACAGAAACACTCAGGAATATATAATAATTTAAACAACCAAAGGGCACATTCTGCAAACCTGCCTCCTGGCCGCCAGCACCCAGTCCCTCTCTTTCCATGAGTCTAGAGTCCTCAGCTGCTCCCTCTCTCCATGTCCTCATCTCTGCCTCCATCTCTAGTGTTGCTGCTTCT